GCACAGAAAGTACCAGAAACAGATTTGAATTTGAATTCAAATTTAAATATAAGTCCATTGGTCAATAAAGTGCATGAACATACTGCCAACCCTACACACCAAAATGGCAAAAACACAGATTGCTTTCCCCACCACACCTTACACTTCCAGCAGAACTCACCAAACAATGTTAACCCCCTCCTACTATCAAACCTAACCCATCACATCACTGAAAATGTTATACCTACCAAGTCAAATGAACCTACCAAGTCAAATGAGCTTACCAAGTCCAAGAAATGGTCTGAAGTGGTCTCCCAACAATCTAACATGATGGTTTTAGATTACATTAAACCTTCCTCCTCTCACAACAAGTCTGTTATCAACCTTTCAAAGGAAGTGGCAATGGAAGGCATAAAGTTTTAGCAGGAAACCCATCTAATTGGACTCTCCACACACAAAAGACTTCCTTTCAAGGTCATTTAGTCTTCAACAGCTAAGATATGGAATTCTTATGGACTTACTGACACAATCCTTGGAGACAATGGTTCCTACATTTTTAGGTTTCACACCAGTCATGAAGCTGAAAATGTCCTCATAAATGGCCCTTGGAACATAGCAGGGCACCCCTTTTCCCTCAAGAAATGGAGCCTTCAGCCACCACCACACCTCAGCACAGCCTCATGTATCCCAATCTGGGTTAAAATTTTCAACATACCTGCCCATTACTGGACTGCAACAGGTCTCAGTCACATAGCAAGCTCAGTAGGGGTTCCCCTTTTATGCAGATCAGGCAACAGAGAGAAGAACTAAACTCAAATATGCAAGAATCTGTGTTGATATTGACATTTCGCAGCCCCTTTTAACTGAAGTAGAACTCATAATGGGGGATGATAATATAGAAAGAATTGGTATTGAGTACCAATGGCTGCCTAAGATCTTTAAAAGATGTAACAAGCTTAACCACACAGAGTTCTCATGCCCACTGAATGTCACTGACCATACCCCTGCAAGGGATAATAGTTCAGCCCCCCAAAACCCCTCAATGACTGGATTACTATCAGGAAGAAAAGAAAGTAGACTGGAAATAAGGTTCCAGCAAATGATTCTCACACCAACAATCGATTTTCCCCTCTCCTACAAGCCAACCATGATATTACTCCACACCATTCCTCACAAAATTCCCCATCACATGTATCTCCAACCCCTCCATCTTTACCCTCAAACCACTCTACCCACTCCAAACTACAAGATAATGGCAATGTATCAAAACCACCTCAAAGACTAGGATCTCAAAGTCCTAAAGTCCCACTGAGAACACAGCCATCACCTTTATGCTGTAAAAAGCTATGTTACTCAAACCATAATCGCCCCATATATCACCCTGCATCCTCATCCACTATCCCAACTTCACCAGCAGCCACACCTGTGAAGGTTCACACAGTCCCAAGAGACCAAGATCATTACAGTGCTCCCAATCCTGATCCAAGAAGATACACAACCACCATATCACCAATTACTACAGCTGCACAGTTTCATTCTATCCCAATAGACCATGATCATCACAATGCTCCAAGTCATACTCCAAGAAGATCCACAGTCAGAATTATGAAGTCTCAAGCAAGAAGAAACAAAAGCCATAACCCAGGTTTGATATCTTATGAGTCCCATGGGATTCAAAGATGTCCAGATCCCTTACTCTCAATCACTCCTCAATGATCTCCATCCTAGCATGGAACATTAGGGGGCTAAACATGCCCTCTAGATAAGTTAAGATCAGGAAGATGATCTTTGAGAAGAAACTAGATATACTATCTATCATAGAAACTAAAGTCTCCCCAGTTAATGTGGATACAATCCACAACAGAATTGCATCTTACTGGCACCTTGTCCACAACTACTCCTTCTCCCAGCTTGGTAGAATATAGGTTATGTGGAATCCCAATACCATTGATCTTGACGTTGTATGTACAACAAAGCAATCCATCCATTGCTCCATATCTATCATTGACCAAAATATCACTTTTTACTCCTCCTTCATTTATGCTTCTAACTTTGTAGTGGAAAGGCTTTCTCTATGGGATGATATCAACCACCATTCTACTCTCTTTTGCAATTCCCCTTGGCTAGTTATGGGAGATTTCAATATCATCTCTAACTCAGGGGAGAAGAATAGTGGTTCTGTTAGATAGAATCCAGCCATTAATGCCTTCTGTGAATGCTTACAATAAGCCGAACTTAAGGATCTTAGGTTTATTGGCATTTTATTCACCTAGAACAACAAAAGTTTTGGCTCAGCTTGCATTGCCAAGAAGCTTGACAGGCCTTCATCAACAAACAATGGAACATCTCATTTCCAAGATCAGAGTGCACTTTTCTCACCCCTGGAGTATCTGATCACAACCACATTCTAGTTACAATTAATACTAACTCCCCCACAAGATGTTTACTTTTCAGGCTCTTCAATGCTTGGTGCTCTCACCCTCTCTTTCTACCATCAGTACAGAGTGCTTGAAACTATTATATTCCTGGGACAGCTATGTTCTAAGTGGTTAAAAAACTGAAATCTCTAAAGCACATCCTCAAAACCAACTGCAAGGTGGACTTCTCAGATGTAGCTTCCAAGTTACAGGCAGTTAAAATGGAGCTAGATACATGTCAACAGGATCGTGACCTTTCCCTAAGTGATATCCACCTCAGACTGCTTGATCTCTCTCTTACTAAAAAGTACACAAGACTTTCAGATCTTCAAGAATGTATGCTCAGACAAAAATCCAGAATGGTGTGGCTTAGGCTTGGGGACTACAACTCATCCTCCTTCCACAAATCAATTGCCTCTAGAGTTAATAGGAAGAAGATTTGTAGCTTAACCAATGCAGATGGGCTTTTACTTGATAATGCAGAAGAAATTATTCATGAAATTGTATCTCGCTTCCAGAATTTGTTTGGAATATGCCCTCTAACTACCCATACTCAAGCTAAACTCTCAAGAGTTATCACCAAGGCAGTGCCTTCACATCTTCACTATATTTTGGATGTTATCCCATCTCAACATGAGATACAATCTTGCATACTATCTCTAAATAAGGATAAAGCTCCAGGCCCTGATGGCTACAATGCCATGTTCTTCCACCAAGCATGGAGCATTGTGGGTAATTTAACAATTAAAGCCATCTCTGAATTTTTCAAAAATGGTAAGTTGTTAGGTAAAACCAACTCTACATACATTTCACTTGTCCCAAAGTGTTAAAACCCCTCTACCATCAATGATTACAGACTTATTTCATGTTGCAACACTATCTACAAATGTATCTCAAAGCTTTTAACTAACAAGCTACGCTCTCCCTCACATCATTGATCACACCCAAATAGCCTTTGTTCTAAGCAGGAAAATTACTGATTCAGTCTTACTCACTCATGAGCTATTGAGAGGTTATCACAGAGACACCCCTGCTCTAAGGTGTGCTATCAAGATTGATCTTAAAAAGGCTTTTGACTCAGTTAGATGGGAGTTTACACTGGATTGTCTTTCCCATCTCAACTTCCCTCCAAGGTTCATCAAGCTAATCCAAGCATGCATCACATCTCCATCCTTCACTGTTGCAGTCAATGGAGAATTCAAGGTATTTTTCAAAGGAAAGAGAGGCTTAAGACAAGGCGATCCTATTTCCCCATTTTTATTTGTCATTATCATGGATATTTTTACTTCAGTTGTTAAGAATATTGTCTCTAGAACCCCAAGATTCAGATATCATTGGAGGTGTAAGGAGCTGGGTATCACCAACCTTTTATTTGCAGATGATCTATTCATATTTTGCCATGGTGACATTACATCCGTATCCATCCTAAAATCTGCCTTAGATCACTTCTGCACCATGTCAGGACTCTCCATCAATCTATCTAAAAGCTCAATCTTCCTTTCAGGGGTAGACCCCTCTACAGAAGCAGCCATCTCAAACCTATTAGGAATTGGTACAGGATCTCTCCCTATTAGACATTTGGAGGTTCCACTAATCTTAACATGTTTAAGGGCAGCTGATTGTAGGCCTCTCATTGAAAAGATCACCCACAGGATCACTCATTGGACCTCAAGGTCATTATCCTATGCAGGGAGACTACAATTGATTAAATCAGTCCTAGTTTCCACCCAAGTCTATTGGTCAAGCATAATTATCCTTCCTAAAGGGGTTTTTGATGAGATCAACATAATACTCATGGCATTCCTTTGGTCTAGCATTGAAATGAAGACCACAAGTGCTAAGATTGTTTGGATGGATATTTGTAAACCTAAGGAGGCAGGTGGTTTAAATATCCCTAACTTGGTTACTTCTAACCAAGCTGCAATTATTAGATATATATGGGATCTTCTAACAGATAACACAGATATAGTTTGGATTAAATAGTGCAAGACTTACCTCATTAAAGGCAGAAACTTGTGGGCTTTAGATATTCCACAATCTTCTTCTTTTTTTTTTCTTTTTTTTTTCCTAGTTGGGACTCACACACACTGCCTCCACTGAGGTTCGAACTCCTGACCTCCCTTTAGGAAGTAGGAACCTTATACCACTAGACCACAGGCTTGTTGGTGATATTCCACAATCTTGTTTTTGGAGCTAGAGGAAACTTTTTCAACAGAGGCATCATGCTAGAAACTTCATCAAGCACCATATTGGAAATGGCATGTCCACATGTTTCTAGTATGATAATTGGCTTCCTACTGGACCACTTAGTATTAGATTCCTTCCTCAAATCCTGCAGCAGGTCTTGACCTTTCAACCACAGTAAGCCACTTTATCTCTGACAACTCTTGGAATTTCCTTGCATCACTCTCTTCGGCAATCCCTGAGCTTTTTGCACTTGATGCTCCAAATAGTTCATGGAATGACAAGTTGTTTCGGGCAACCTCACCATCTGGAAAATTCAGCCATAAGCATACTGCAGCTCTCTTATCACCATCTTCTCCATCGGTAACATGGTTTAACTTGGTATGGAGATCTTCAGCAATCCCTAGAATGAAATTCATCATGTGGCTAGCTGTTCAAGGTCGCCTTCCCATTTTGGACAGAAGGTTTATGGCTAGATTTGACAATGTCTGTGCTCTATGTAATGTCAGCTCAGAATCTCATTCTTATTTGTTCTTCTTATGTGATTTTACTTCTCTAATTTGGACCTTCTTCAAAGCGAAATGCAAGAGCTCCATTACAGCTCTGACATGGCTGGAAATTGCTTCAGTCTTCAGTATCCAGTGGTCATCTCCATCACCATGGAATCTGTTTAAAAAGCTTTGCCTCGCAGTTCTAGTATACCACATTTGGGAGGAGAGAAACGCCCGTATCTTCTGTGGATCGAAGCTATCACAAAACTCAATTCGGGCAAGGATCTCCAATAGCATCACCTCTATCATGAAATTAGGGATCTTCAGGGATTCCATTACTGCACATCACACTCTCAAGGACTGGGATCTTCCACTGTCTTGTTGCCGGCCACCGCCGTGTCCACCTGACTGAAGATTTGAAGCCGTTGTGCTTCGATCGTTGCAATAGCTAGTTCACCGGATTTGTGTCAGATCCACCATTAACGGCTAATTAGCCGTTAATTGTTGGTTTTGTTGTTTTCATTAAGTTTGGGTCCTGGCCTGTGTAATTGTTTGAGTCTTTGGGCTCCTGTTTCCATCATGTATGGTTTGTTTGGGCCGAAGGCCTCTCCTGTATGGTTCCTTTATTTATATCTATTAGCTTCATTTTCCGAAAAAAAAAAAACAAAGAAGAAAAATCTCTAAATGTATAGGTGTCCATAATCCATATTTGAGTGGTTCACTTTCCATGAGCCTTCATTTTCCGAAAAAAAAAAAAAGAAAAATCTTTGCATGGTGTCCATAATCCATATTTGAGTGGTTCACTTTCCATGAGCTTCTGGCAGAAACATGAAGTTTATGATTAGATTACGTGGACGAATTTAAATGTGATTCAGGGCTTTGATGCAACTAAATTATGTTTTAAAATAATAATATTCCTCCTAGTCTCTATGTTTGTCATTTCCAATTATTCTAAATGTCACCCAGATGCCATTGGGGAAAAGTTTATTTACACAGTAGCCACGGATTGACAAGTAGCCGTGTAAATCATCTGCTAACGGTTCAAGTTCAGATAATAATTGAGTGTTGTAGTCCTGATTTAATAGTAATGTAGTGTAATATGTGCATGCGTGTTGTATTATTAAAGTAATGTGTTAGTGCATGTGTTTACATCGATATTTCAGTGAGTGTAGTGTGTTGTGTCCTCAATTTGAATTGCAGCGTAGCACCAAACCTATCAAACTACACTTGTATACGAATTTATTTCTCCAATTTATACAAATATATAACTACCAGTTTTATCAGATTTTGATGATATTACACTCGACCACTATGACCAGAGTGCATTTTGGGAAATTATTCATTGACGTTTGCTTCTCCGCTTCCTTTCTCTATTTCTGAATAAGACAAAATACTTTTTCATTTTTACATGCTTCAAATCAAGCATTCATCCAATCATGAAAACAAATAGAAACATCAGCTAGATCTTACCAAAACAATCCCATTAAAATCCCCAAAAAGTAATGCTCAAACAAAAAAATCAATTTACTCAAAACATAAAAGTCATATTATAATGCTAAAATCCCTATAATCCAAGTGCATGTTTTTCTTCTGGAGATGCTAAGCATCAAGAAATTAACCAGGTCATAAATAAAAGATTGGCAATAACAATAATGATTATAGGAAAATAAATTTATCTCAGAATCACATGAACCCCATAAAGGGTTTTTTCTCAGATTCACAAGAGAAGACACTGACAGTGCCTATAAGCTAAAATATCAGAAATTAATAATAATAAAATCACATAAAAGTTCTCAAACCGGAAGATATTCTAATAACTCTCGTATCCGACGGAGATTAATAAAAAATGTATAATGAGATGCAATTGATACAGATTAAAGCAAACGAGTTCGATAGAGAGCAAGCATGTATATTATATATTTACTTACCTTTCATCTCCCAAATCAAAATGGGTAAATCGTAGTGCAATCTTCAGATCATGCAAAAATTACTTGTCCATTGTGGGTGCATTTAAGGGTTAGCCGTTGAGCAATTGAGCGCTAAAATAACCGAATCCTTAAAATAATAATTAAAGCCCATTCATTTTTGTATTTTATGATTTTATTTTTTTATTTTTCACAAGAGAAACACACAAAATTTTAAAAAATAAAAGTTGAACGAATTTAAAATAAATTTTATAAAAAAAAATTAGTATAGTTAAATATTTAATAATCAAAATAATAACAAAAATATTGTTAAAATTTAAAATTATAATAACAAATTTTAACTAATAAAGAATATTTATTTATATATTAATATTAATAGGGACGGGTTCTAGGACTAATTAAATTGTCCCAATTATCCCTAAGCGCCCTGCCCAAGGAGTTCCTGTTTCCAAAAAAAAAAAAAAAAAAATTGTCCCAATTGGAATGAAATGATAAAACGGAACCTGACAGGACTAATTAAATTGACAACCTTAAGCACACAAAGCAGCCCCATGCTAAGGAGATCCTTTTTCACTGAATTATGAGTCCAAATATCAACCAGATTAGTCCATATTTGACGTTTGAGTTCTAAAATTCTACTTTCAGATGGTAGGCCTTCCACATAGGCGAGAGAAATTGCAAGTGAACACGACGTTAGACTAAAAGTCATTTGGTATAAATGATTTTTTTCCCCAGATTTTGAAGTAAAAAACATAAAAACAAAACGATTAATTGATAAAAAAAAAAAAAAAAAAAAGGAAGGTGCAGGGCGGAGCCAGGATCGGAAAGTAAGGGGGGGCTAAAAAAAAAATTTTAAGCAGAAGATTTATTGGGAAAAAAAAAAATTTAAACGAAGAAGATGATAATGATAGCAACAACAATATCGATGAACATTTAAATAATGGTAAATCGAGGCAGCATATGAAAAATTCCTAATTACAACTAATTTCAGTTAATGACTCAAGTTTGATGTAAAATACTAGAATCAATACGGTGTCCGAGTCTGCACTGGTGAATTTGAATTGGGTACAATAGACATGTATTAATAAATCAAATGTCCGCTAAGAGTAGACTCGGACACCGTATTCAAATTCATCAGTGCAATGGCTATCTCAAGATGCCTATTTTTGGTGTCATTAAACAAAACTAGAAGCTTCAAATCAATTAACCGAATCAAAAGCAAGAGCGGCATCAAGAAGTTTTGAACCAATAAGCAAACGAATGACAACGCAATAAAATCTAACCGTGAATCTAAACCCATAAGAATCAAAAGCAAAATGAAAGAAACTTAAAACAGTTTTTGGGTTCATTGATAAGTGTGTGTCAAAGAGAACGAATTGGGAAGGAGACAAATGGGCTAAAATATCTTTACATTTTGAGGAATCTAGAAATGGGTTCCTAGAGCATGCCTTTGTTTCAAGCTACAATTCGTCCATGTGTTGATCTATAATGGTTGGTCTAGCCTAATGGGTTTGGCCTTGTTTGGGCTCAGTTTTTGGCATGGACTCTATTTATCATTTATGTTTTTTAATGAATTGGGCAGCTTGGGTTGGGTAATGGCTGATTGGGCTGGGCTATGGCTAATAAGAAATAGTAGTACTAATTTTTTTTTTTTTTTTGGACCTGAATTATAGCCCAGGTTAGCCCACACATGGTTCCGCCCCTGGGAAGGTAACTATCAACATAAAACAAAGAGGAAGGTGCTATAACATTGATAAAATATACTATTAATTTGTGAATGCGATTCGAAAGCCAGACGTCAAGGGGATATCTCTCGAATTTCTGCCAAGGCAGACTATGTTTATTTGAAGTTTAAAAAAATATATTTATTGATAAGATAATATCACTAAGACATTTACTTTTTATTGATAAGATAATATCACTAAGACATTTACTTTAATATTGTGGGTTGGTCACGACTTATTATTTGTGTACTTTGCATGTCATTGCTCTTTAATAAATTTCTTTAGGTTAAAGAAAACGAATTGAAAAGCCTATTTTCATTAGATTTTGATGACATTTGGAACGGTTTGATCCAAGAGTATAGCTAGTTTCTCTCTCTCTCTCTCTCTCTTCCAAAACCAAATTATGATTTTGCTTGAAAATAAAATATTGTACTTGCTTACTTCACACATGTTACTTGTATTTTATTTATATGTAAGATTTATCATTAAAAAAGTGATCAAACTATAATTTGTTGTGGTGATTTTGTGGGCGGGTGTGTGTAAGAGTGTGCAGGTGGCACCAGTATTACCAAACGTGCTTAACCTGAAATAGTATCAGGATAGAGATCCCATGGGAAGTCTCTGAAAAGTGTAAAAGGGTAGTTACATTTGTACTTGATAAAATTGGAATTTTTTATCATTAAAAAAAATAAAGTTGATATATATTATGAATAGTTGGACATTTGTTTAAGGGATAATTTCTGATACAACTGCAGGATACTGCTAGTTATCATATAATATTATTGTTCCTTTTTAATTCAAATGATTATTTTTTATAACTTGTGGATATGTTTATAACACTGCCCTTTTGATGCATGCATGAATTCTATATCATGTATTTGTGAACTTTGCACTAGAAATGTGGAGGGGGAAACTATACGTGACGTTGAATCATATATGTATATTGTGGCACAAAAACATGATATTTTTGTTCTACTTTGTGGCACAAAAACACTCTCATACTCAACTGTCATCCCAAAAATAGCAATTTGCAAAAATTAGGGGGATATTTTTAGAGAAGATGGAGAGAAATACGGTAGGTAGTTGTGTAGTTTAAGCTGAGACAGATTCAAGTCAAAATGTTTGAAAAGAAGCAGAACAACCACCACATCCAATTAATTAAAAATAGGAAATACCAACAAATTATGGGAGACCAATTAATTTACATCCCTACAATTCTACTTGACCTAAAAACAAGTAACCAACATAACAGAAATGTAGTAGTATATAAACCCCATTGCCTCACAACAATTCAAATCATAGCCAAACCAACCAGAAGGTCTCCTCCCATTCCAAATAACTTGCCAGAGCGATGGCATCAAATTTGGGAGCCCTTTTGGTCTCTTCATTGCTAGGTCTTCTTGTCGTGGTGGTTGCTCACCAGGGTCGCCATGATGACCGCCACCATAGCAACAAGGTGGCTACTCACCATTATGATAACCACCATACCTCCAAGAAAATGAGTTACTTTGACAAGACAAAAGTTTATCAAGTACATAGATCCAAGACCTTGCATGCACCTAAAGATAAACAAAGTCATGAGAAAAAGGGACCCAAACAGCCCAGCCAACCCAACAAACCCAACCAACCCAACCAACCCAGCCAACCCAACCAGCCTGCCCAGCCCAGCCACCAAAACGAGGCCTGCACTGGCCCTTGGAAGGAAGCTCATGCCACATTCTATGATGGACATGATATTTATTCAGGGGGAGCTTGTGGTTATGGTGACCTAAGACAACAAGGCTATGGCATGAATACAGCAGCCTTGAGCACGGCTTTGTTCAACCAAGGAGCGGCCTGCGGTGCTTGTTACGAGATCAAATGCGTCAATGATCCGGAATGGTGCGTCCCCGGAGCACAACCCCTCATTATTTCAGCCACCAACTTCTGCCCACCAAATTTCTATCAGTCAGCTGATGCCGGGGGATGGTGCAATCCACCCCGTGAGCATTTTGACTTGGCACAGCCTGCATTCCTTCAAATTGCCAAGTATAAGGCTGGCATTATCCCTGTTCATTATCGAAGGTATATATAATAATCAATTTTCACATTCTCAAACCTTAGTTCATGATAGAATCATAGAACCAAATTTAGCTATATATAGAAGACCAATGTTAATAAATATTTAACACCATTACCACTAAATTGATTTTATTTATTTATTTTCCAGGGTTGCATGCCAAAAGCAGGGAGGAATCAGATTCACAGTATCTGGAAATCCTTACTTCGATTTGGTGTTGGTATGGAATGTTGGAGGGGACGGATCTGTCACAAGTGTTGAAGTAAAGGGTGACAAGTCAAATTGGTTCCCAATGAAGAGAAACTGGGGCCAATTGTGGGAGACCCACGAAATGTTGTGCGGACAATCTTTGAGCTTTAAGGTCACAACCAGTGATGGCAAATGTGTTACTAATATGGATGTACTCCCCAAGGACTGGCAATATGGTCTGACATACGAAGGCCACAACTTCGAATGAAAAACATAAGAGTTATTTGTGTGTGTGTTTGTGTGTGCACCAACTCTTATATATTCTTTCCTTTACACAATTCTTGTTTCATTTGGTCCCTAATGCTTGGAGGCTGTAGAAGACTGTTGTAACAGCATGCATAAAGGACAATAATTTTGTAATTGCTTTATTCATGCAAGGCAATAAATTACAGATTTCCTTATAGAAATGATCATTATATCTATATTGTTGGGTGTTCCACACACACACAAATATAAAGCAGCATATGCAGAAATTCATATGAATATGATTTTACGCAATCAATATATCAATTCATTATTCTTATGCCTTTGTAAGCTATATTATCCTTGAAGTTCAAAATAGGTACAGTACACACAACCCAAATTCAATTTTTTTCCTAACGTGAGTTGAATCTTGGCTAACCTCAAACACTCACCTACATTATTTAAGAAAAAGATTTGTAAGTCGGCCCCAACTCCTAATATAATTTTCGTAGATTTTTAGGTTGAATGAGCAGGCTAACACGGGTATCATAGAAATAAACATACGAGATTGATATATAAAGTGAAACTATTTGAAAAGATAATTATGGAAAATGAAAACAGCAGTTAATTTTACTTTGACTATATTCTGTTGCATGGAATTGGAGATTTGGAATTAGAATTTGTGGCAAAATTGAATTTTTTTTTCCCAATTCCAAAACTTCAATTCTATACAATCGAACACAACCTAAATTAATTTGAAATTTGAAATTTCTCTAGCTCATTCATGCTGAAATGCATCTGATGTTCTGAACACCACTCTAAATCCAACTGAAATACACGACAAGTTGTTTGTAATGCTTACAAATTAATATTATATATATATATATATATGTACAGAATGCTATTAACTTCATACAATATATATATATATATATATACAGAATGCTATTAACTTCATACAATATATATATATATATATATATATATATATATATATATATATTTTTTTTTTTTCTTTTACCTGATTGGAAATATTCAAGAAATGGTTAATTAGAAGCATTTTTTTTTTTTCATTGATGGTGGCTCAAAACGGTGGAAGGCTGATCTGATTAGAAGCATTTTTAATAAAAGGGATAGTGATTTAATTCTTCAAATTCCCCTTCGAGAAGGGGGAGGAATTGACAGTAAAATCTGGGCCCCGTCTGGTAATGGCAAGTTTAGTGTCCGAAGTGCCTATTTTTTGTCTTTAAAAATTTTAAACAGATCACAGGTATCTTTCACTGATCCTAGTAATAGTACCCCTCATGCTTTTAATGACGCGTGGAAGGACATTTGGAAAATCAGAACCAAAGAAAAGATCAAGTTTCTCATATGGCAGTGTTGTTTGGAGCAATTACCTGTTTTGAAGAACCTCCAGTCCAAAGAGATTGTCTCCGATGCGATTTGTCGTGTCTGTGGGATGGAAGAAGAGACAATTTCTCATATGCTTTGCAAATGCTCCATTGCCCAAGTGGTTTGGAAAAGCAGTCCTCTCAGGTTGACTTTTCCAGACTCTAGTTCTTGTTCATGGCAACACAATTGGTTATATCTTCTGAACTTATGGCACGATCATCAGGCCTTGGAAAGGTGTCTAAGTCTTGTCTCGTTTATCATGTGGCAGTTATGGAAAGGGAGAAATGATTGGCACTTCAATAGCAAAAAATGGTCTCCCCACGACATCATTGATCGAGCTTTATTCAACTTCCATGAGTTCTGGGCAGTCCTCCATCAAGATGCTTCCATTTTCAGTCCCCAATCTTTCTCATCCCCCCATCCATCTTCTTGGCAATCCCCTATTTTGGGTAGATTAAAGCTAAACATTGATGCCGCTTTCAATTCCATCTCCCATCTCGCGGGGGTGGTGCCATTCTCAAGGATGACAAAGGGAGACCGGTTCGGTGCGCCTCTCTTTTTTGAGAACGTGGGATCGCCTGCAGTGACAGAAGCTCTTACTTTAAGAGAAAGTCTGAAACTTCTATCTTCGTGGGGCCACACAAATGTTGATATTGAAAGTGATAATCAGCGCATTATGCAGCTTCAGTCGGTGGATGGTTTCTCCTTTATTATAGTAGAGGATATTGCTTGTTTGTTGCCTCATATGTACTCTTGGAAGCTTCTCTGGACTCTTAGAATTTGCAACAGAGTCGCTCACTTCATTGGCAAATGGGCTCTCAGGTCTAAGTGTAGTGATCTTCAGTGGGATGTTTGGCCTCCTGGTTTGATTCAAGCCATTGAGGCTGATCTCTAGTTTTTCTGTCTGTGTTTTTTTGTAGCCTGGAAAAAAAAAAAAAAAAAAAAAAAAAAGAAGAAAAAAAAAAAAATAAGAAATTGAAGCATGTCTCATAACCCCAATTGGTGGTACTTTCAAACCCCAAGTTCCTTGGTGGAGAATAAAAACAATCCCACATTACCCAATGATTGCTTAATAAGAATTGCCCTAAGAAAATATAGATCTAGAATAGAAACCGTAATCGAATTAGGAATTTGAGAGGTTGAAATATTTATTGATATTGCTACAAAAAGTATTTTATTAAAAGACTAAGTTTTTACTATACACAAAATAATAATAATAATCAGAACAACAATTGAAAATTATTAAAAGAGGAGATCAATTCAGAAACACTTTTAAGAATTTGGCATCTTCGAAGGTGGTGTTCTTAAACAAGCCGTTCAGGACATCGTTGCAACATCTTCTCTCACATATATATCTACTGCACGTCACTCTCTAGTTCATGGGCTTAATTGCTACATTCCATAGTTCATGGGTGTTTTAATACATTTTCACCCTTTTTTTCTTTTTCTTTTTCCTTTTTTTCAATTTGTCACTTTGGCTTGACTGATGTCTAAGCACAAATTTTATATTTGTTTTATCATTTCTTATCTATATATTTGTATTTTAAAGGTGAAAGGTTTGAAAGGATACGGTGATACATTGAAATAATTTCCCTTTCTTTTCGTCCCCAAACATAATTAGGTGTTAGAACAATCATTTCCTTTCTTTCTCCCTCATTAATTAACTAAAAACGGTGATAGGTTACCACCATCATTTGCTTTCTTTAATTTTCTCTCATAAATAATATTATTCTTTGATTCCTTTCTTTTTCTTTTCCCTCCTATTATACCAAACACAGCCTGCTTTTTCTTTTCCCTCCTGTTATACCAAACATAGCCCTAATGTTTGATAAAATGATAATGGTTCCACCATATAAACATCAATGGGCTTACTAATAGAAGAAGTCTAACTCAAAAAATTACCTGAACAATAGGCATAAAAATAAAAAATCAACAATTGAATCAATTATCAGAAACGAGGAAGACTTTACCGCCAGACTTTTGAGAGCCATCTTTGCTTGTGAGGTTGAGGCTGAGCAGCTCTCTTGGCCAAATTCATCTGGTGTCCCTTCCCAAATTAAAACTCAGGAATCAAAGATAAGTTCAACTCTCTATGAAAGGCAAACTGAAAACCATTCATAAACAACTTCAATAACCAATTAAATCTTTCTCACATTCCCAAACCGGTTCTAGCGCATCTTCTTAAGAAGAAATACGGTTGCTGTCCAGCCAAATTGAGACAGATTCAGGTCATTGAAAAAACCAAAAAAAAAAAAAAAAAAAACATAGCAACACACTCAATTAATTAAAAATAGAAAATACAACACATTCTGGGAACCCAATTAAATTACATCCCTCCAATTCTACTTAACCTCAAAAACCCTAACCAACATAACAGGAATCTTAGTACTATATCAACCCATTGCCTCACAAGAATTCAAATCATAGCCAAACCAACCAAAAGGTCTCCTCCAATTCCAAAAAACTTGCCAAAGCAATGGCATCAAATATGCGAGCCCTTTTGTTCTCTTCATTTTTAGGTCTTCTTGTTGTGGTGGGTGCTAACCATTATGACCGTAACACCAAGAAAATGACTTATTTTGACAAGAACAAAATTTATCACGTACACAGATCAAAGACATTGCATGCACCTAAAATTAAACCTAGTCATGACACCAAGGGACCCAAATATGTCACAAAGCCACCCCACCACGACACCAAAGGACCCAACCAGCCATCCAACTCCAATGCTGGCCCTTGGAAGGATGCTCATGCCACCTTCTATGATGGACACGATATTTATTCAGGGGGAGCTTGTGGTTATGGTGACCTAAGACAACAAGGCTATGGCATGAATACAGCGGCCTTGAGCACGGCTTTGTTCAACCAAGGAGCGGGCTGCGGTGCTTGTTTTGAGATCAAATGCGTCAATGATCCGGAATGGTGCGTCGCCGGAGCACAGCCGCTCATTGTTACAGCCACCAACTTCTGCCCACCAAATTTCTATCAGTCAGCTGACGCTGGAGGATGGTGCAATCCACCCCGCGAGCATTTTGACTTGGCACAGCCTGCCTTCCTTCAAATTGCCAACTATAAGGCTGGCATTATCCCGGTTCAATATAGAAGGTGTAGTCATGTTGCATATTCTCAAACCTTTGTTCATGATAGAACCAAATTTAGCTATATAGAAGATCATGGTAATAAACATGTAACACATTACAAGTAGATTCATTTATTTATTGATTTTCAGGGTTCCGTGCAAAAAGCAAGGAGGAATTAGATTCACAGTATCTGGAAATCCTTATTTCGACTTGGTGATGGTATGGAACGTTGGAGGGGACGGAGCCGTCACTGCTGTTGAAGTAAAGGGTGACAAGTCAAATTGGTACCCAATGAAGAGAAACTGGGGCCAGTTGTGGGAGACCCATGAAATGTTATGTGGACAATCTTTGAGCTTTAAGGTCACAACCAGTGATGGCAAATGTATTACTAATATGGATGTACTACCCAAGAACTGGCAATATGGTCTGACATACGAAGGCCATAACTTCGATTGAAAAATATAGGAGCTCTATACACTCACACGTGTGCACCTACTCTTATATATTCTTCCCCTCGCACAATTCTTGTTTCGTTGGTGGCCGTAGAAGGCTGTTGTACCATAATGCAGAAAGGACAATAATTTTGTAATTGTTTTAAATATGCAAGGCAATAAATTACAGATTTGCTTATAGAAATGGTCATTAATATCTATATTGTTGGGTGTTCCACACACAATACACACATAAACAAATATAAAGCAGCATATGCAGAAATATTGTTCAATATGATTTTACGCAATGATTTTTACAATTCATTATTCGTATGCCTTTGTTTGCTATATCATCTTTGATGTTCAAAATAGGTTCAGTACACTCGGCCCAAATTCAAATTTTTGCCATACTGGCTCAACTCAAATTGGGTCCTAACTTGAGTTGAATCTTGGCTAACCTCAGTACCTCACACACTGACCTACATTATACCCCAATATAAATACGATACGAAAACTATTTTGTTTATTTATTTATTTATTATTATTATTTTTTTTTCCCAAACACTTGAGTACCTTGATGAAATTAACCAAAACCACCATCAAAAAACCTATATACCAAAATGCAGCCGGCCCATCGGAAATTTTTTGTCTTTTGATAATTTTGTGCATTTTCGGAGAAAAATCAAACCACCAAATATGTACATAATAGAGCATTTGAAATTCATCATCCGTTTTTTACTATAAGTATTTGAAATTCATCATCCTTAATAACTAAACTATTACAAATGCCACTTCTTCAGTACTTCCATCTCTTCTCAATTTCCTCACAGGTAACCTTTAAATCATGCAAAGACTGTTATAATTGGAATTTTTTCCAAAACAAAACTTAACCATTTTTGCCTTAATTCGACTTCTTTTGTATATCAAAAGTACACCTCATCCTCCCCCCCGTTTCATAATCATTCTCCTCATCCACATCATCAACCCCACGAAATTGGTGGACCTCCTCATCATCATCACTTGAAGCGTTCCTGCTTTCAATTAGGAAGAAGCAACAACTACATAGGGGTAAAACATGCTCTAGAACAAGTGTAATTTTAATTTTCTCTTAAGGGTAGATTTGGTATTAAAAATATTATATTAGTCTTTCCTTCTCTTTCCTTCCATTTCCTCCCATTTTTGGGAAAATAACAAAGTTACTATTTAAGCCTTGGGTCTATCATTCCAAAACCATTCATTTCCTTTTCTTTCCTTCTTACCATTTATACCAAACACAATTTTTTAATCACCCTCCATTACCTTTCTTTTCTTTTCCACACATTTCCATCGCACCAAACTGGGCCTAAAGAGAAAATTAAAAATATCAAAAAATAACAACTAATTAATATAATGATACCATATATAATAGGGTAAACTATATTAAACCTCTCTTTTCTATATGTGTTTTTCACTGAACCCCCATTTTCTATTTTTTTTTTTTTTTGTCAATAGACCCCCTCAACTATTCAAGAGGGGCCATTTAACTAACGAAAGTTAACTGAAATGTTTGGATATTTAGTTTCTCATATATGTTTTAAACAAAATATCCTTGTACCTATTTTAATATATCCTCACATATATATCTACTCTATTATCACTCTTAGCCGCATATCTCCACCATTGCAACAACACGTACTCTTCCATCATAATAATATTATATATAATTTGTATCATAATATAATGGTATATATAATATGTACCATTAAATATTATTTATATTATATTTTCACTTCCATCCAACCTTCAGACCAATATAAATTTAGGTTTTTTTCTTAAAATTTACCTGCTATATATATATTTGAAAATTATATTGTGCATTCATTTATTTGGTTTTTATTGATTTTCATTTTATATAAATTTATTAAAGGGACACTAAGAGAAATAATGCCTAATTTTTTTTTCTTTTTTATATTAATATTTATCATGTTTTCTTCTTCTTCTTCTTCTTCTTCTTCTTCTTTTTTTTTTTTTTTTTTCAATATCATTTTTTTCTATAAAAAAATAAAAAATTCCTTCCATGTGACTAATGTGAAAAAAAACAAGAAGCAAAGTAGATTTTCAAATAGGCTTTAATGGGTATTTAAGTCAATTTATATTTTAGTTTTCTTTGAACTAACTTCCGTTAGTTAAATCACCCTTTTGAATAGTTGAGGGGAATTTTTTGACAAAAAAAATAGAAAAATGGGGTTTAATGAAAAACACGGATTGAAAATTAAGGGGGGTTTAAAATAGTTTACCCTATATAATATTCCAAAGATAAAATACCAATTAGAGTGGATAATTAACCATTAATACAGTAAATATATAAATAGTTAAAACATTAAACTTTTTTTTTTTATTGTTTATTTCGTGAAAACATAAGGAGAAAAAAAAAACATTAAATTTTTTCTTCAACAACACCAGTTTGATAAACGAGCATCCCAAAACTATAGCACATTGATATGCCAGATCGAGACTCGAGAGTCAGAAGAAAAAAGGTCGAGGGTTAGAAGAGGTATCAAGCATCAGTATTACTGATCGAAAAAAAAAAAATGATGGGAACTGTAACGACCCTGGATTTTTTTAACCCAGTATCTTTTGTGATGAACCGAAAGAATGACTTGATAATGGATCCGAAATGCGGAAGCGAAAGAAACTAAATGGCCACTAAAGATGCACGTCATCCCCAAGGCACCGAAATGACTCCCCATAAATGAGTTTTTCATAAAAAAATTCATAAAATATAAGTACACATTTTTCAATGTATTTGGCATGTATTAGTTGAGGCAGGAGGCCAATGACATGTAAATTGTATTCTATACACTTTCATTTTTAGGATTATTTATGAAAATATTGTAAAATGTTAAATCATTGCTTCATAACTTTTGCACCGGGTGTGGGAATTCCATTTTTTTCCTTCATAGAGTTTCTATGATCATGTTTTAGGTGTGGCCAAGGGCCAAACACCATTTCGTTCTAGGTTTTGCATTTTGGTTCCATTTATTCCATTTTTAGGCATTTTTGGCCGTTGGGAGGTCATATTTTGCATTGAGGACATTTTGAGGCCGCGGACCATTGTGACGCGTCTTAAATGTGTTTTTACGTTTGTGTGCATATCCACATTTCACAAAACTCTTAAGTTTCAACCTTGGAACTATTTTTGGGCGATTTTATGAATTTTTTTATGAAAAACTCATTCATGGGAAGTTATTTTGGTGCCTTAGGGATGACGTGTATCTTTAGTGGCCATTTAGCTTATTTCGCTTCCGCATTTCGGGTCCATTATCGGGTCATTCTTTTGATTCATTACAGAAGACACTGGGTTAAAAAAATCCAGGATCGTTATAGGAACGTGAGAGAGGAAGGGAGATAAGTGAAATAATGTGATACTCCCACATTTCCACGTGTAGGCTGGCCAGGCCCACACCCGAAAACATGAGAATATCAAAACAATATAGTACTTAAACGAACACAGAATACAAGAGGAATAAAAAAAAAAATGATTAAATCGCTGAATGGAATTCTATTAATAAAATTAAATCTCTTTTACAAAAATATTTCCATGAGTTTCAAATTCTGAAAATATTATACAACTCGGGAATCCCATAAGTTAAGGACCCCTAAACCAAAATCTTATAAACCACTAGTTTATACAAAACATTTAACAATAATTAACTATACTAATTAAATGTAGACAAGATGAGTGGATGAATGACAGTTTCCCAGCTGCGGATCCTCAACCTCGAGACTGGAACTTCTAATAACCTGAAAAATAAATCGTGGGTTAGACCCACGAGCAAGTTCCCTCTACCAACCCTCTGAAAACCAATAAATAAAGCATCTCTAACCAAAATCATCCTAATTAAAGTTTTAACCTTTAATATAAGATGATACAAATTTATATGAATCATTATATATAAATACAATAATCCTATCTATTAATAGGTTCACTAAATTTGTTGAAACCAATCACCAACGATTAATTCTCAATCATACCTAGACCAAATCCATCATTTATATTTATTTTTCAAAACCAATAATGATTATAAGTATTTACATCACACCGCTAGGCTTTGACAAATCATCCATGTCACCACTAGTATTATTTTGTTAATAAGTATAAAGTAATACACTATCCTGAAAGTATTAGACTATTCTAATTTAAGAATATCTAATTAATCCTAATCCAACCTATACATGCAATACTTATAGATGATATACTTTAATCATCTAACACATAACAATAATACACTTTGGCAAATCAACCATGCCCTTATAAATATATTTATTTATATATTGGCAATTCAACCATGCCTCCTTTAAGTATATTCATGTATAACTTTGGCAAATCAACCATGCCCCTCTAAGTATATTTATTTATACCTTTGACAATTAAACCATGTCTAATTCATACATAAACATCTCATGCACATTATAAGCATATTACCATTTAATAATAAGTCTATCCAAATATATTAAATAAGATTAACTAATATTAATTTCTTAAATAATATATACCTATACACATATACTATATAATATATATGTATAATACCTTCCATTTATATATATATATATATATATATATATATATATATATATATATAAATACTCTCTTCTATACTAATCATAATTAAATCAAAACTCCATGTGTACACATATATACATATATATAAATATATATACACATATATACACCACCCTCCATAACAATATAATATATTATTATATTTACTCCAAATAATTACTACTAATCCTCGTAGTAACACTCTATGATTCTTAGAATACCAAGAACACCTCCTCAAGTGGTTATTTTCAACCCTCACAGGCTTAAAATCAATTCTAAAAATTCACCGGACCCCACAGGACCTTTCCGGGACTCCGAACACCTCCTCACGCGCCCCCACGCGCCGCCAAACGCGCCTAAAACTCTGGAACGCGCCTCTACAAGAAGCCACGTGGCTTTACGCGCCCCCACGCGCTCTCACGCGCCGCCCATGCACCTGA